CTTTTTTCAAAACTGCACAATTCATACAACTTCGGAATGGAATCTTGGGGAAAAAATTGGGTAAAATACGCCAATAAAAATATAAAAGAAAAAATCCTTTTTGCGTGAAATATTTTCAATTTAAAAACTATATAGAAGTATACATTTTTTATTGTTTTGATCTCTGAATGAATAATATCAAAAATAAAATAGTACGCAATACGATGTTAAATAGCGACCTTTCATGTCTGAAATTGGCAGTTAGCTTTCAACTCCAGGATCTACATCGTTCTTCAGCTCGAAGATGCGAACACATTAAAAAAACGGCAAAACGTTATGGGGCTCATTTCAAAACGGGGACTTACCTACTTCTTTTACATGACAATAATCCGTCCGATGAGAACTCAATATGCAAAATTCATTGGGACTGCAATCAGCGAAATACCGAATATAAAGAGCCCAAAAAAGAAGAAAGAAAAAGATTTCTATTCTTTCAGAAATTCTTCCTAAACTTTCACGATACCTTAAATTGCTTTTGCAGTTTATGATATGGGTCATAACCCCATAAGGATATAACCCGATTTCAAGTATATCTTACATTTTAACCATATTTTCATACTAATTTCGGCAAATGTTGGTAATTTGGGATCACGTTTTGTATAACCATCATATGATTTAAGGAACCGGACATTTGTTTAATCGCCTTTAAATTTAAATTATTCTATGATAAAAGTTATGGACATTATGGGGTCTCCAACGTGCAATTTCAATGACAAATACTACATATTATTTTAAAAACAAGTAAAAAAATTAAGTTCGGCCGGGCAGAACTATTTTTATCATCCACCTTAGGGTAAAGGAAACATTTTTATATAAAAGTATATGAATTCAAGCGTGTTTCACTTTAAACTTTATATACCAGAAAGACGGTTTGAATATCGACTTAGAATTTTATGCTGATTATGAATATATATATATATATATATATATATATATATATATATATATATATATATATATATATATATATATATATATATATATATATATATATATATATATATATGTATATATATATATATATATATATATATATATATATATATATATATATGAGCCCCATAACTTTTTGCCGGTTTTTTTTTTTTTTTGTTGTTTAAATGTGTTCGCATCTTCGAGCTGAAGCACGATGTAGATCCTGCATTTGAAAGCTAACTGCCAATTTCAGACATGAAAGGTCGCTATTTAACATCGTATTGCGTACAATTTTATTTTTGATATTATTCATTCAGAGATCAAAACAATAAAAAATGTACACTTCTATATAGTTTTTAAATTGAAAAAAATTCACGCCAAAAGGATTTTTTCTTTTATATTTTTATTGGCGTATTTTACGCAATTTTTTCCCCCAAGATTCCATTCCGAAGTTGTATGAATTGTGAAAATCCGTCAAAACGATCTTGAGTTATAAGCATAGTAACTAATAAACAAATTGAAAAAAAATCTTCAACTTGTTCGCTGGTTTTTTACAGCGAATGTTTAAAGGTCCTTACGAAGTTTGGTCCTTACTATTATTTTGAAATTTGATTCCATTGAAAAAAATGTTCTCTATTTTTTCCCGATTTTAGAGATTTTGCAATGCAATAGGCTCTTTTTTGATTTTTTAGCAGTTTTGAAAAAAGGAGTTATCTTTTAACTTTGGTTTGACCACGTTAAATTATTTTGATATCATCTATTTAGGTCCGTAACTCCATAATTGTCGTCGCTTTATACTACCCAAAAAAAACTACACATCATATTAGAATTCAATTCAAAAGAAAAAAAACACTACAAATGTACATTTCAAAATAGTAAGTCAAAATGGAAAAAATCATGCAAAATAAAACATTACTATTGTACACCTCAACAGTCAAAATGAACATTTTCAAATTTCACATTTTTACGCGATTTTTTTGGATTTTATCTATTTCTTCCAAGAGACAATTCCGATTTTGTTTGAATCGTTAAAATCAGATCAGCGGTTCTTGAGTTATAAGCGTAGCAACTAACACAACTTTATTTAATATATAGATAGATTAGAAGTATGCGTGGTCAGTTCCTCAGCCCCCAAGTAAATCCCTAGGGTTGGAGGAAAAGTCAACAGTATCTCGTGTAATAATTTTCAAACCGATGTCTTCATTATCTGGCAAATAAAAAGATTTTAGATAAATCAAGATAATGGACGTAAAAGTAGGCGTTGTCAATATTTTTTCTTTAAAAACCTAACTTGGGATATGATGAACGTTTGTACAAAAAAATATGCAAATCGGTTTAGCCGTTTTCAACTGATTCCATTACCAACGAACAACAATTGATTTTAAGTATATAGATAATATAATATAATAATACCATTAAACATTCGTCCTTTTTTAAAAATTTCTGGCAAATGAACTGTAATTTGAAATTAAAAGTTTTCAGTATTGTGAAATCAATACCGACAATAACTGTTTACTATTGGTACCCCATTAGACATAGCCACAAGTTAAAAGTACGTTGAGATTTTATATGTTTTGATGCTTTGAAAACTATTTTTAACCCAAAATTGAAAAATGTTGGTATGGCTGCCATGATGGCATGTATAGAATATATGCAAATTTTCTCGATTCTCGAAACGCATTCTAAACAAAATTCTATATTAAAATAGAACATTCAATTTTTTAGTTCCGCGATTTTTCTAGAGGTATTCTTAACGTTTTCACTGAAATTATAAATAACCAAAAGAAAATTTGAGTAAAATCGGACCAGCCTTTCTGAATTGATGTGTTACAATACTTTTTTAAATATAAAACATATAGACATATAGTTCCTCTGAGCCCAAAAAGATACATAGGGTTGGAAGGAGAGTGAAGAATACGTTGTATTCTTACTGTGGAACAGACATCTTCATTATTTTGGAAAATATTAGGATCTTAGGTAAATCGAAAAAATGGGTTTTATGCTTTGCATAATCCGGGTTGGGACGAACATTTAAAAAAATTATCCAATCGTTTCAGCTGTTCTAAACTGTTCCAAGCCGATTAATTCACTATTTTGCAAAATATAAGGATTTCAGGCGAAAGTTTGTACAAAAAATTATGCAAATCGGCCCAGCCGTTCTCAACTGATGCAATTACCAACGAACAACAATTGATTTTTATATACTCCACCATGATATGGAGCGTATATTAATTTTGTCATTCCGTTTATAACACCTCGAAATATACATGTTAGACCCCAAGAAGTATATATATATTCTTGATCAGCTTTCTATGTCGATTTAGCGATGTCCGTCCGTCTATCCGTCTGTGGAAATCATTCTAGCTTCCGAACGAATTGAAGTAGATTGATAAAATTTTACTCAAATGTATGTTATGTCTGCATTCGGTATTTTTAAGACTTTAACAGAATTTTAAGGGTATTCATAGTTCGGTCCGGCCGAACTTACAGATTTTTTACTTGTTATATATAAAAAATAAAGAAGACCTATAATGTTATCAGGCCATATTGTCTGTAAATGCAAGATAATAATTTTACTTCGTCTAATATCCACACAGTTTTTGCAATCCTTTACTTTAGCTTTGCTCTTTTATGTGCAATAATCTTCTACCATAGACATATAAAGGTATGTACTAAAAAGTTTTAAATTTTACCCCTTCCGGCAGATGTCACAATGTTTGATCATTGGGACAGTAAAGTCACTCAAGGCTAGTGAAGTCACTCGAATTCGAAAACAATTTTTTGATTTTTCTGCTATTTAAGTTGTATATTTCAATATTTTTTTTTTTTATCTTTTTATTTTCAATTGATACATGATAGGAAATCATAAAAATATTAAATATTTTGTATTTTGAGAGAATAGAGTGACCAGACTTAAGCTCTTTCACAGCATGACCGACATCTATTGAAGCACTTTTTTCGAAGATAACACATGAGACAACTTTTTAGTCTACACCTTTTTTTGTTTATGCTTTTACCATTTCGAGAAGTAAAAAAAGAAATGTCCATTCACGTTGTCAATGAAAATTTAATATAAAAATTGTAGCTATATCCATGGTACAATGAAGAGAAGGTAGGTCAATTTTGAAAAAATTGCAAGTATAGAGGTCTACCTGTTTGGCTTGTAATGTCAGAATTAGTATCAAAACAATAAAAAATCAAACAACTTGTTGCATTTATTTTGAATAAATAATTGAAAACCGCGATAACTGAATGAAAGGTCAACACTTCTTTTCAAAATCATGTACTATATATCTCTAAAGGATTATTTCGCTACAAAAACTCTAGATTTTGTCGATGCATACGTTGTAATAAACATTTTGAAAACACCCGATTTTGAATGTTTTCTGAACAAATTTTTTGTTATTGAAAAGAAAACACATACATAAACAAATATAGATGACATATTAAGCCAAGAAAATAAAAAAAATGAAATCATATGGTATCATAGCCCTACCTTTATATCATTGTACCATGGCTATATCATATGTTCGCATGAGTCTAAAATTTGTTTTGCATTAACAGTCAAAAGTATTTTTAAACAAAAATAATGCACAGCAACACAAGAAATATCTATTTAAATATTTTTATTCGCTGCTATTTTACAGAATAACAATACTTTCATATTCATATCATATCGTAAACGGACCCTAAACATAATTTTTAACATTAAATAGAATGATGTATTAGATGTGTATGACGTTGACCCAGTGTTAAAATAAATAATATAACATAGTTCACATTGTTTGGTATTTAAAATGTTCATAAATTATTTTTTATTTATATAATAAGGCATTTTTAGGTCTGGGAAACACTTGCCTTTCACCATTTCATGAAGTGGTACGTATGCCTGCTCCAAATTTCAAAAGAAACATTTAAATATTTTTCTAAATAGACGTTTAGACTGAGTATCATCAAAACAAACAACCTATGGACGAACTTAATGCCTGGGATCCCCAATTAAGTCAATTTAAGCCAAAATATTCTTATTGGAATAAAAGATTTACCTGATTTGTGATTCAGCTGATTTGGGCAACAGTAAATTGTGAGTATCATTCAGCTTCGGATTGTTGTTGATGTTTTTGTTGTTCAATGCATTTAGAATTTTTGTTGATGATGTGGTTGTTGTTGGATCCTCCACACTTGTGTGAGCTTGATTTATTAATGAATCACCAGCGCTACTAACGGAACAACTTCCAAAACTAAAAGTGCTCGTAAAGACTAAGAAAATCAATGCGTACACAAGTAGAGGTGAAAAACAAAGACGACGCAAAAAATTCTTTGACGACAATTCAGAAGAGAACGTGGAAATAACAATATTGACCGGGTTTTTTGTTGATATCCCTGGTGAGATGGTTAAATTGGTGGGTGAGGGGGCGTTAATTTGGATACCACCAAAACGGGGACATCCCATTGATTTTTCATTTTCAATGGATTTCACATTTCGATTATGTTTAAGCATTATCGATTTACTATTAGTTTTATATTTCTCGTTAGAATTTCTAGTCCGTCTTTGGCAATTCTCAGAACAGGGCAAACGTTTAACTTTTTCCATTTTCATTGTATAAAAAATTGACACAATTTATTCACTTGAAGAGAAATCATAAAAGAAAATAAATTAGATTATCACTTTATTCTTTAATTCTATTGTACGACAAAAAAAATAAGAGACGTGAAGCAAAAACACACAATAAGACACACGGCACTATCCACCTCAAATTTCTTGCACGGGTTCACGGTTGTCTGTTAAAAGTTTCCTTTGAATTTTGTTTTATTTTGGCAGAAAAAAAATGTTCTCCCAGCTTCACCTTTCTTTTATCTCGCAATGCAAATACAAATCAAAGCCCACTCAACCTTCCGATTAGATGCAAACTCGGTGGCTACTAAAACTACAAGAAAAATATCAAAATATTAGCAATTGACAAGTGCTGAATTTTGGGAATCCAACATGCATTAATAACAGACAGAAAAAAAGAAGAGTAATTGAATTGATAGCCAAGTTTGCAATGTTGCCAGATGCTGGCAATGTGTTGCCAGATGCTGGCCAAATACCAAGGAACATGTAAAACTCATTTATACTATTGAAGATTAACCCACTGGCATGGCAGAAAAATACAGGTAGATGCATCAATGTCAAAAAATGTTAAATGTTTTTTTTTCAAATATGAGTAGATTTTGAAATGTTTTCTTATACGACGTTATTCGGAGGTTATTATAATTTGAGTATTTTAATAATTTTTACAAATTTAAATAATATTTCTTTCAACATTTTCAATTCCAAAATTGGTTTGACAGTTCATTGTCCCAACAGCTGTATCGATGCGTCTACCTATATTCTTCTATCATGCCCACTGGGCTTATTAAATCCAGTGGTTAATCGTGTGACAAATCCTTAGGACATGGTAAAAGGGAACAGGTAGATGCATCAACGCTTGGGAACATTGATATGTCAAAATTTGTAAAACGTTTTTTCAAAAATAAGTAGATTTTTTATGATTTCTTATACGACGCAAATCAGAGTTAGTTATAATATACATTTTTCAACAAATTATACAATTTTCAATATTTTTTCATTTAACATTTTCAATCGCAAAACCGATTTGACAGTTCATCGTCCCAGCAGCTGTGTCGATGGACTACATGTATTTTTCTACCATGCCTTAGGAGGATATAAAGGGCTAGGCATATTTTGTGACATTTCATAAAGGGATTACAGAGCCGCACTAAAATCCTGCCGTCGTTTTCCATTATAAATTGACATTAATATGCCATGCCATGATTTTAAGCTTTTTATGTACATACACCTTAAATGCCGCACAGCAACCAAAAAAGAATTCAAAAATGTTGTATCAAACACAATCGACGTTGAAAAATAAGTGTTTATTCACATTGGTGACCTTGACGACAAATAAAATTTTAAGTTCTTACACCAAAGACCTAAAATGGTAAAGACTAGACAAAATGCATTCTGAGCAAATGGTTTGTGTCTATACTGTCTAGATAACAGCTCAAGACAGGACCATGTTAATATAAAAAAACACATTTATAGAAAAAAATGACAAACAAAACTTTAAAACTCCAAAAATTTGGTTTCAAAATTCTATTCCATAGACTTTTCCAATTAATTGCATATTGCCTAAGCGGTTTAAATCGCTTAACATTGCTAACTATGTTGTTACGATATCATAACAACAGAGGTATTTTCACAGGGTTGCCACATCTTCACTCTGCCTTGTCCCATTTTTCTACTTCTATGTCTTTGCTTATACCCTACAAAGGGTATACATCATTTGATACGACCAAAACGTTCCTCATTGAAAAAATAGTTTTTGACCCTGGGTCAAAGACCTAAAATGGTAAAGACCATGGTACAATAAGGAGGTAGAACAGCTTCGTAAAACTGCAGAAATACAGTCCTGAGGCTATGCCCGCTTCTTGTCAGAATTATTCAAAATTACATGCAACAAGCTGTTTTCATTTATTTAATATTTTTTGTTCATTTCTAAAATGAGTCAAATAGTGCGAAAGATGAATGAAATGCCTGGATGTTCTCTCAAAAATATGATCCTAAGTGTTTAATCTTTCAATTCCATGGCAAATCTCGTCTCTCTTCCAATCATTAATTTTGAAAATATATTCAGGGCTGTCATAGAAACCAATTTTGTCACTATTGGTTTTAAAAACGACAAGAAATAATACTTTGGTGTCATGAAAATCAATGTTATCGGTTTTATTTTCGAATTAGAATTTTGTCGGTTTTGGTTGTCATAGAAGCAAATGTTATTGGTTTTGTTATTGGAAATAAACCAAGTTGCTTAGAGCTGTCACTTTTCATTTGCTTTGGATTTTTTAAACAATTTTTAAAGGATATTCAAAGGACTAAAAATGTTGATTTTTTAAAGAATTTTAAAGGATATTTAAAGGACCATAAACGTGGATTTTATAAAGAATTTTTAAAGGACCATAAACGTGGATTTTTTAAAGATTTTTTAAAGGACTATTAACGTGGATTTTTTAAAGAATTTTAAAAGGACTATTAACGTGGATTTTTTAAAGAATTTTTAAGGGACTATTAACGTGGGTTTTTTAAAGAATTTTTAAGGGACTATTAACGTGGGTTTTTTAAAGAATTTTTAAGGGACTATTAAGGTGGATTTTTTAAAGAATTTTTAAGGGACTATAAACGTGGATTTTTTAAGGATGTTTTCAAGTGGTTTTAAAGGATATTTAAAGGACCATAAACGTGGATTTTTTAAGGATGTTTTCAAGTGGTTTTAAAGGATATTTAAAGGACCATAAACGTGGATTTTTTAAGGATTTTTTAAAGGATACTTAAAGGACCATAAACGTGGATTTTTTAAGGATTTTTTAAAGATTTTTTAAAGGATACTTAAAGGACCATAAACGTGGATTTTTTAAGGATTTTTTAAAGATTTTTTAAAGGATACTTAAAGGATTTTTTAAGGATTTTTTAAAGATTTTTTAAAGGACTATAAACGTGGATTTTTTAAAGATTTTTAAAGGATTTTTAAAGGACCATAAACGTGGATTTTTTAAAGATTTTTTAAAGGATTTTTAAAGGACCATAAACGTGGATTTTTTAAAGATTTTTTAAAGGATATTTAAAGGACCATAAACGTGGATTTTTTAAGGATTTTTTAAAGTTTTTCTTAAGGACTATAAACGTGGATTTTTTAAAGATTTTTTAAAGGATATTTAAAGGTCCATTAATGTGGATTTTCTAAGGATTTTTTAAAGTTTTTTTTAAGGACTATAAACGTTGATTTTTTAAAGATTTTTTAAAAGATATTTAAAGGTCCATTAACGTGGATATTTTAAGGATTTTGTAAAGATTTTTTAAAGGACCATAAACCATAAATCTGCAATGCAGCTTTATGAGTAAGTTCGCAATAAAAAAATTTACTTACGCTGTCTCCGGCAATTCCAGTGGGTTGCTAAAATCTCTAAAAGCTTTTCTCGTCACCTTTTCTGAGCGTTCTTCGTCCAACAACACAAAAACTACCACTGCTGATGCCATCTTACTTTATTTATAGCGACTTATTCCTTTTTTATTTACTTTACTTTTACTGATATTTCAATGACAAATAAACAAACAACACATGTAAGCAACAAAAGCTGTTTCGACCATTGGTTTTATTTACATTTGAAATTGACAAAACCAACTTGGTTTCATGACACCAAATGAAACCAACATTGGTTTACAAAAACGACAATAAGCAAAACAGACATGATTTCTGTGACAGCCCTGATTGTTTTTATTTTTCAAAACAACAAATACATACACAAAATTGGCAGAAGTCGGGCACACTTAGAAGAAAATTATAATCAGCTGGGAGCTCTACCTTACCTTTTTAATGTACCATGGTAAAGACAAGACAAAATGCATTTTGAGCAAAAGGTATGTGCATGGCAGAAGAATACAGGTAGATGCATCAACGCTTGAGAGCATTAATATGTCAAAAATTTAAATGTTTTTTTTTTTTTCAAATATTAGTAGATTTTTATATGTTTCCTTATACTACGTCATTCGGAGGCTATTATAATTCGGGGTTTTCAACAATTTTTACAAATTTAAATAATTTATCATTCAACATTTTCAATTCTAAAATTAGTTTGACAGTTCATTGTCCCAGCAGCTGTGTCGACGCTTCTACCTATATTCTTCTACCATGGGTATATGTCACAATATATAAAGTATCAGCTCATGACAGAGGCATGTTAATATAAAAAACACAATTACAGAATGGAATAATAAATAAAAATTTGAAAAATACAAAGTTTTGGTTTCAAAATTCTATTCCATACACCTTTCCAAAAATTCGCATATAGCCTTAGCGGTTTAATCAGTTAACATTTGTAACACTGTTGTTATGATATCGTAGCAACAGAGGTATTTTCACGGGATTGCCATATTTTGACTCTGTCTTGTACTATCTTTATACTTCTATGTCTTTGCGTGGGTCTCTTTGGACCAAATCCGTTTCAGGACATTTTAAGTCGATCTAGGGTCCGTCTGTCTGCTGGCTGGTGTGCACGATAAATCCTGATATTATGATCAGTTCTCGGTCAGGTCCGAAAATAGACAACTCTATCAAGTACCTCCCCACAAAGGGACAACATTAACTTCATCAAATTCAAAATAAACACTCGATTATTTTCACATTCAGCACATTCCAATATTTCTATCAACACACAACACAAGGAATGTGTCGGACCACTTATTTTTGTACCTCCCACACAACGGGTCAGCATTTTGAATAAATACGACTTTCATAAAATACGAAATAAGCATTCTTCAATTCTCTTCAAACCTTACACATCCCAATATTTCTTCTAGCACAAGATGTAGTGTGAAGATGGTAGATATGGTTTCACTTATTGTGGTAAATCTCTCACAGATTCGTCAAAATTTTGAATAACCAAACGCTAATAAATTGTGAAATAAACATTAAATCCTCTCCAAATTTTACACATTGCAATATGTTTATCATTTATCAGTTCACATTTATCAGTTCATTCCTTCTGTGACCTTCCTCACAAGAGGTTTACATTTTTAGATTAACAATTATTCGCATAAAAATATTTACTATTTTCTTTAAATCTCTTAAATTTTAATATTTATTTCTGGTGACTTTTTTGTGCAAATGTTACCATATAGTTCCAAAAGAACTACTTAGTCAATATACCCAGCTAGCATTTGGAAGATTGTTTTTGAAAAAATCACTTTGGTGAGTCTTCTTCGAATCCTTTTGGCGACCAAAAATGATTAACTGACTTGTATGATCGAAAAGCGACTCGAAAATGACTCTCTCTAATGAGTGGAAAGAGATAAATTTAATATACAACAACAAAATGTAGGGGAATCGCAAATCAGTCATTGAGATGTGCAAAATGTGACAATTTTTCCGTTATTTATTATTGTATTGCAATCATCTAAAGATTGAAAAATGATTAGTCTTAAAAAGATCTTGCAGCTGTTTGAAAAGTGATCAGAATTATGTATTTTTTGATCACATTTTGCACAGATAAGTGCATAAATGCTGCTTTTTTTGTTATGCAAGGGTCATTTTGTTTCTTGACTGACTATTAAAAAGTTGAATTACTGTTCATTTATAAAAAGTGCATGGAGGCGTCAACAGCAAAAGTGTATAATATTGAAAAGTAAAAAAAATATGAAAAAGTGTACCTTTATCTCTTTGTTTATTTATTAATTTTTATAAAAAAAAAAATGTCAGCAAGTTAAATTACAAAAATAGAAAAGTCTCAAATAAAAACAATGGCAAAAGAGAGGCAGAAAATTTAATTTTGGAAAAAAGAAGTAAAACTGAATATGAGAAAAATGAAGAAAATGTCCAGAAACGTGAATTGGTGAAGCAAAATGATACATAACATGATTTGTAAGTATAGAAAATTGGGTATTTGATTGATTAATTCACTACTTTATAAACTAATAATACTTATATATTTTTTTGATAATCTATTTCCAGAAAGAGTTTATTGCGAAAGGTTTTAACAGATAAATTAGCCTGCCAATACAGCTGGAAGGGGACAGGGTACAACTGAGTGGAGAAAAGTGTTATTTATTTACAGTAATCAAAAGTTAGTTTGTCTTTTAAACACTTATATAAATACTTAGTAAAATGGACAGACTTGTACATATATTATTTCAGATATGTGTCATCTCAAATACTCAAGCAACGACAAGGATATGAACACAATCCTACAAAAACATTTTATTCACGCTAGAGACCGCGTTACAAATAGAAGACTGCCCAATTGCAGTTCCTGATTTTTTATTTTTCATTTTTTTATTTCATTTTCTTACATTTTTTTTTTTATTTTCTTATTTAATTTTTTACTATATTTTTTACAATCGCATTTATTGATATTACGGTACAAATTATAATCATAAAAGCTGAATTATTTTTATTTTAAATAAATTATTATATGAACATATATAATTAAATTCTTTTTTACGGAACATCCAAAAAATGAATTAAAAAAGACTCGAAAAAGATTCACAAATTAAGCGTTTTAGCGCAACAAATTATTAGAAAACTACTCGAAAAAGACTCGTAGAACGATCAGAAAATGGTCGAAAAAGACTCTTAACTAATCTAGATGAAGGCTCATATGTGATTTATTTAGAAGAGTCGCGGGAGGTCACGTTTTTCTCCCGACAACTGAGTCTTTTATGAGCAGAAAATGCGCTCATATTCCAGCTTTTTAATCGCGCAACCGGATCAAAAAAGAGTCGAAAATAGGAAATTACATTGGTTTGGGTACACTTTTGCATTAGTACTGGTGACAACGTCACCAGCAAAACACTACAATTTTACTAAAGATACTCGCTGCAGGGTTGTGTCATGAATTTGTCTACGTATGTAAATATGTATTTGTATTTTAAGTGAGACATGGATATCCCTAGATTCACATTATTTATTTATTTATTTTTTTTTTTTTTTGAGAAAGTTTCCGGATGGACTTTGAGCGATTCCATCTATTATTTTTCTGGCTCCTTGAAGATTAACCATATCATTTGCCAAAAGTTCAAGAAGAATCTCTACTCCAGCTGATGACCAGTGTTTACGAGTTTATTTTTGTTTTCTGCGAAAACACGCAGACAAATTATCATCATATATATTGTTTACAATTTATATTTAATTAAAGGCATACCCATGGCTCAATAAGAAGGGTTGCTAACTTCAAGGAAACTAGAAAAACGTAACTCTGTGCTGGTGTCTTATTATGTCAAATAGACTTAAACATGCAACAATTGGTTTTGTTTATCAATAACTTTTTTTTCAGAAAAATATTATGCAAAAACTTGAATGGAATATTGGGTTTTCTCAAAAAAATTGAATCCAAGATAGTAGGACAAAATTGTTTTATGCCAAAATTATACATTTTTTATGCGTTAACGTGAAAAATATGCATTTATATTGTCCCTAAATTTGAAATAATTTGAAATTATTTTTCTTTTCATTCAAAACAATACACACATATATACAAACTGTGTATATGTTTTGACATAATAGGGGGTAGCTTTGTTCTACCTTCTATAATTATGCCAAGGGCATACCTTTCTTTTCATATTATTTAATTTGTATCCTCCACCACACATGGTAAGTAACTCCTCGAAATAAGCATTTTTAGCCCCACAAAGTATGTATATTGTTGATAAGCGTCCCATAAAAGTCGATTTAGCCTGTCGATCCTTCTGGGAAATCACTATAACTTCCGAACTAAATGAAGTAGGTTAATAAAATTCTGTTCAGATGCATTTTAGGTCCGTTGAATTTGAATTTGTTATTGAAAATGGGTTATACAGATTCCGAACTAAATGAAGTAGGTTAATAAAATTTTGTTCAGATGCATTTCAGGTCCGTTGAATTTGAATTTGTTATTGAAAAAGGGTTATATAGATTCACATTTTAATACAGCTCCCATATAATTGTTCGGCCAGATTGAAGGTGTTTTGGGATTTGTTTTTAGGTGTTTTAGGGGTTTTCAATGATTTCATTCTACTTACCTGTTTAATGGCATTTGGTGGAAAAAATTATAATTAACAACATATAACAGAGTTACCTAAAATTCGCATACTCAGTCAATGTTTTTCACCACACAATTTAAACACACGTATTTTTAGAGTTACCCATGGCAAAATAACTAAAGTTAGAACAATGCTTTAGCATTGATAATGAATAAAATGATTATAATGAAATAAATTAAGGATTGTAAATACACTTAAAATCTTGTTTACAATTATATAACAAACTCTTAGTACTTTGATCAAGAAGTTTGCATCAAAACCCAATACCATATGACATATAAATATGTCCGTATAATGGCAAAGAAATGATACACGTTGCAAATTACACACAACTTCGTTAACGTTTGATTCATTTGTATTGGACATATCTAAAAGAATAATATTTTTAGGTCCCCGCATTTTTGTAATTATTCACTGAACGTTTGATAAGAATTGAAAGATAGGACATTTGCATGTTTGCATATATTGTAAAAAAAATACTGTTCTAAAAATGCGAAATTCTGACAGACTATATTCTAGATGTCAGCACATATCTTGTTGTAGTACCTGTAGTTCGGTTTTATTTACACCGAAATCATAAAACTGATATTAAACACTCAGCAATACTTTACAAAATATTTAGATTTTTACACCAACATTCATTGATTTTCAGTACCACAAAATAGCAGATAAATTATCTTCATAACCACCCATTACAACGCAACCACTCAAATACCCTTTTTCGCGGAATATTTACAGGGTTGCCCACATTCGACGGACCCATGTTTTTTTTTTGGGCCCATTCCAATCGACGAGGCTTGTCCGCAGGCAACATTCTTTGCGTCAATTAAATTTTGTACAGGAACAAATGCTAATCAATGCGAATAATCCGTTGTAAAGTGGACCGAGCCACGCCCAACTGCTGAGAACGGCGTTTTTGGGATGTTCTTGGGGACCTCTCAACACTGGCTCGTACGGCAGCGATATTCCCGGCCGATCGCCTTGGTCGACTTTTATATGGCCTCTTCGGATTAGAAAGAGCCTTACCAGTCGAAAAATTTTCGTATAAACGCTTAATGATGTTCTTAGAAGGCGCACTTCTCACATTTTTTTCACAATTGACTTCTTCGGTTGAATGTAAATTTCAACTATTTCAGAGCGCTCGCGTGGCGTGTATTGGTTCATGGTAAAAATCTGCTTGGACTGACGCTTCAAACGCGGTACGTCAAACGCGGTACGTCTCTGTCAAAAGTTATGGCGTTGCCGGACCCATCTGGCAATGGGTCGAATATGGGCAACCCTGTAAATGTTCAATTTTCAATGGTTGAATACAAATTATTATCACTTCAGATCTAGTCCTTTTTTATTCTTTCTACCTATTCTCATATTTTTCTATTATCTCCAATTTCGCAACCAATCTTAACATACATCACAAATAAAAAACTCAGCTTTTACTTTCATGATATTGAATTGTATTAGCAATTTTTTGCATTATCAAAAACATCTAATTTTTTCAACACCGGTACATTATTTTAATATATTTAATGTTCCGCCATCGTAGTGTACAGTTTTGTAGTTCTCCGGCTGCGGAACACTACGATTTCGTAGTACTCCGACTGCGGTACAGTACGATTCTCGTTGTGCTCCGGTACAGTATCACTAAAATATTTTTTAAGGGTTGTGTACGGTACATTATCTTAGTGTACCATTCCACCTCGGAACGGTACAGAAAACTACGGTACAGTACCATACTGTTTATTTTCGAACGCTGGTCAAAACGTATACACATTTTGTGTATGTGTGTGTATTGTTTTGAAAAAAAAATCATTAATTTGAGATTAGTTCAAAATTGTTTGCAAAATAAATTCAAAATTTCGATGTAAATGGGAAACAATTGTAAAATTTTGTGATAAAACTGTATTGTCCTACAATTTTATATCCCCGAAACTCCATTCTTGTTTCGATGGTTTTCCCGAATATAAGAAAAAAATAAACATAAAGAAAGCCAACTGTTGCACATTTAAAAGTCTATTTGACACTATAAACTCCGTTACAGAGTTGAAGTGGAGCAACCTGTCTTATTGAGCTATGTAGTTACCCAAATACCCAAATACATACGAAATTTTAAAGTGAAACAATTTCAACATTGACAATTTCTTTTTTTTTGTGTTGAAAATATAAATGAATAATACAAAAAATGTGAATCGGAAAATAATACAATGTGGTGAATTTAATAAAGTATCAATTTTAAAAACGTTTTTATTTGGTAGATTCTAATATTTGGACCTGATGTATTTAAGTAATACGGACGTACAAAACGTTTTACCCTTTAGGTGAAGTCGAATATTTGTGTGACTCACGTCGAATTTTAGGTAACGCTGTAATACAAAATACAAGAAATTTTTAAAAATGCAATGGCAACCAGTTCTATATTAATACATGCTCTGCTCATGCTCAAAGCAGGAATGTATATAGTCTGTTCCAGTACTGCAAGAATGTGAAAGTTTTTACTATCATAACGGATTTTCTCTTTATAATATCGGAGAAACTTGCAAAACTAGTACATTCTTGCAGGTTCTGGAACAGACCAAAAGAGTATAGACTATTCACTAAGAGATATTCTAGCACAGATGTTTTAAAAGATGATTCGATTACAAAAAAAAATCGTTGCTTTAGACACTTTAACACTTTAGTGTCGCAGTGTTACTTTAAATTTGACGTAGCATACACAAATATCAAAATTCTCCACTAGGGTAAAAAGTTTGCAAGTGTTTCTTTTAGGATTTCACTTCAATTGGTGAAATTGGCGGTACAGGAACATATTTTTTATAAAACAAGTAGGATACACTAGTCTTTGGATTTGCCTCCGCCCGGATTTTCATGATTGGGCTGAATAACTTTCCTCAAATTGGAAAATTAACGAAAAAACAGTAAAGAAAGTTTTAAAGTAGGACGGCTTTATGATATCCTACACCCCTTTGTATATTTAGTAGAGCTTCACATAACAAAAATGTTTTTATGTGGAATTTGTGAGAACCATACCAATTATGATTATAGTTATAATTTAAAGTCCAATGGAAAGTAATATCCTTGCTACTAAATTTGCCGGGGCATTTGTGCACTTTCAGTTGGGGCTTATATTATCCATTTGGTTCACACTTAACTTGAAATCGAATAAAGATATACATGGAACTACATCCAAATCTGAACCGATCTCAATAAAATTTGGCAAAGGTATTTCTGATGTTCAAAACATCTTTGTAAACAAACCGATTCATAACTTCCTTTATTTTATGAAAGAAAAAGAAAAGCAACACCACACTATATTTGACCCCACCCCCCCCGTAACGTAGACTCATCCCAGAATAAAATGTTTTTCTATTGAGCTGGATTCCAGTTAATATTATCGTTTCCGAAAACCATCCTGGCTTTCCGATATTTTCCGATTTAATGGCTTTTTTGATGGCTGCCACTACTCGTCTGCGCATTGATCTCGAGCTTATATCCAATGATCATCCGTTATAGACTGTTAGTTTCAGTTTCATAAAACCGACTTAGTATTCGACGAGCGATAGCTTGTTTTCATTGTCACTTATAATTTGCTGTTTTATGCATGTACTGTATTTGCTTCTAGCCATTAAACTTTTTTGGCAGTATTCAAAAATCGAAAACAAACACGTGCTGATGTAAAAAAACTTCTCAAAAATGATTTATGACAAACGAAATTGTCGAAGGAAGCAAAAAGCGAAAAATATAACAGCAAAAACAACTGAAATTGCAGCGATCATATGAATGTACAACAGAGTTGCTTTTGTTTTGTCCAAGTCAAAATCGGGTTAGTTGACTTCACCATACATTATTTTATGTATAAATATGAATTTTGGTTTTTTGTTTTAAGTATTTAAAAAGTGAATAAAGTACCTAATTAAAAACTAAAAAAAACTTTCTCATTTTCTTAATTTTGAAAAAGGTTACAGAGCATTCATTCTCCTTGTAATTTCAGTTGCTTTAGTTTTGGCCACCAGTGTATACGGAGCTATAGCTATATCTTAACCGGCATACTTATATCTTAACTTGGCATACTTATTCCAGGCTAAATTTTTCCATATGTACAAATTACAATAAAAGGCAAATCGAACGAAGATATATATGGGATCTATATCTAAATTTTGACCGATTACCTCCAATTTCATAGGGTTTTCCTTGGGTCAAACAAATAACTTGTGCAACATTTCAACTGGATCGGACAATAAATGCGACCTGTACTTTTTTTTTACAAAAATATATGGACAGACAGACGGAAGGACATGCATAAATCGACTCAGAATGTGATTCCATGCAGATCATCAAAGGAAATTATGGGTCTATCGGTTTCCTTTTGCCTGTTTCAAACATATATATAAATATATAAATACAATTACAATCTGATAAGAAAATGCTTTAACACTCAACGAACATCTTATTGGTATATGCGCTTAGTAAAACTAGCTTTACAAATTTGGTTAGTTGCCAATATATAAAAAGATATATGCGATATTTTTGAAAAACAATATATGTTAGTTTAAAAAATAAAATAATATTTGTTTCGAATTTACAGCTACACTAATTCTATGTTATTAGGTGTAACATGAACCTTGACTTCATATTCTTCTTCAGTAGTACCATCAACATCGTCATCATTAAGAATTAACGAAAATCGTTTCATAAGGCATCTTTTGTCATCACAAAGGCTCAAAGACAAGTCTAATTTCAAGGCCTGATTCTCCAGGTTTAGAGCAGAGGGGTCAAATCGTTTAAGTTGTAATTCAAATTTGCCATCCGAAATAGATCCCCGAGTATTTAATGATTTTAAAGCTGAATTGGCACTATTGAGACTCCACTTTTGAGGTGCTTCATTGGTGAATTTAAGTTTGTCATCGAGAGATATAGAAACCGATAACTTTAGTTGTTTGCTTTTGGTCAAGGGCAAGCGCTTAAATAGTTCTAAGCCCGAACGCAGCAGACCATCACTTTCATCTTCTGCAGCATTTTGAGGAAATTTCAATAGAAACTGTGTTGTGGTATTTGTTTCTACATTTACTCGCAATAACTGATGATTGTTGGTATCGGATATAAGTAAATATCGGCCGCTATTATCAAAACACAAACTAGCCGGTTCGTTGAAATTCTGTATGGTGGCACCATCATCCTGAACATATTTACAAGTCTCGATAACATTATTCTCGACATTGATTACTTTGATTTTATGATTGTAAGTGTCAGCCACATAGACTTTTCCATTGGTGTGATTAAAACAAACACCCAAAGGATGTTGTAATTTAGCAGAAAATTGTTTGCCATCTTCGTCGCCATATGCAAAAAGATTCTAATTGTGAAGTAAGAGCTATTTAATATTACATTTAATTTTAAAAATACCCCTCTCTTTTACATACCTGTGGATTACGATCTCCTCCTACTACTGCTAAAACTTTTCCATCTAACATTGATGCCTTTCGAATACTCGAACTCTCGCTATCGGCAATAAATAGAAAATCTTTACCCATGGCCAGACCTGAAGGTTGAGCAAAGGCCGCATTTTGTGGATATGAATTATTTCGATTCTCTTCCATGCCATTTCCAATTAGAGATACACAAGTGCGGGGTTCAAATTTACGGAACTTCCACCAAATCATTGCTTCTGGAAAATATCCCCATATTTGATGAGTTCCCGCCATGGATATCAATATTATTGTTTTTTCAGGTACATTTTGCTCATCCAAGTGGAATGACATATCCATATCGCGTGTGCGGTATACAGCTACATCCCATGGTGAAGATATTTGTTGAAGAGGCCCCTCCTTTCCACCAGAACGATCGTGGCCCTGATGACCTGTACCAGCTAATGTTTCAACCATCTGTGTCAACAGATTTACTTGACGAATTGCATGGTTTTCGGTATCGGCCACTATCAGGGTATTCTCGTTAAGGAATGCCACACCCTGTGGCGAATTAAAACGAGCCGACGTGATATGGCCATCTACTAAACCACACGAGCCGCTACCAATTTTTAGAAGAACATCTCCCTCGATATTGAAAACAATAATGCGGTGATTTCCGGCATCCGCTACTGCAAAACGTCCTTCTTCACTTCGAGCTATTTTGGCTGGAAATTTTAGCTTTGAAGCCGGTAGCAAATCGACTGAAGGCCTTAGGGGCAAAGAGAATTCTTTAAGCTCTTGCTTCTGTGAAAAGAATCGCAGCGCTTGTTCTGTAAAACGTTCCAGAAAGATACCATGGCCTTCTCCCATTAGCATAAGTAGTGGCGCACCAGATGGTGACAAGACTACTAGAGTTGGCCAACATCGAACACCTATATTTCGCCACAAAGACATGGTAGGGTCATTTACAATGGGATGCTCAATATTGTAGCGTTGCGCTGCAGCCAAAATATTCACCGCATCCTTCTCATTTTCAAACTTGGGACTATGTACACCCACTACCACTAGACCACGTTCAATGGGGTACAGCTTTTCCAAGCTGTTAAGTTCGGGTAATATGTGCATACAATTTATGCAGCAATAGGTAAAGAAGTCCAAAATAACTAATTTACCACGTAATCCCTCCAAGGTTAAGTGATGACTCACATTGAACCAGTCCAAATCTACAAATTGGGAAAACATTATGTTGCACACAAAAAGCCAAAAAAAATTCTTTGCTCTATTCACCCTTTCCAAATTCATATTTTTGTTTTCTTAACACATCCAGAGCGGTGTCTCCTTCCCAACGTCGAAGAAAGTCTTGAAATATTTGCGATTGTTGCGCCACATCTTTGGTTGATTGATAGCGTAACTGCAGATCCTCGGTAATGTAACATAGAAGATCACTTGGCTCTAAATCTTCCGTTTCCATTTTGGTTATATTGAACAACCTCCTAAGGACTTCTTTCGATCTCCTAAAAAACCTCATAAACTCTGTCAACTTTAACTCAGATGTCGAAGCTGAACTATTTTTAGCATCGTCGTTAAACAGTACCACCCAATAAAAGACAACTTGCTACTCTTTGCCGAGACAGAAGAATTTTGTGGCGAATATGTTTGTTGTCATTTTTTGTATGTATAACACATGGTAGAAAAATACAGGTAGACGCATCGACGCAGCTGCTGGGACAATGAACCGTCAAACCGAATTTGAAATTAAAAATGTTAAACGAAAAATTGTTGATATTTGTAAAAATTGCATGTCATAACAACCTCCAAATTGCGTCGTATTAGAAAACAATAAAAATCTACTTATTTTTGGCAAAACATTTTAAGAACTTTGACATATCAATGTTCCCAAGCATTGCAATAATTTTTTGAACAATTTTTATACCCTACACCACAAGGTGGTCAGGGTATTATGTCTTTGTGCATTTGTTTGTAACAGGCAAAAGGAAACGAGATAGACTCATAGTTCCTTTTGATGATCTGCATAGAATCACTTTCTGAGTTCATTTATGCATGTCAGTCCGTCTGTCCGTCCGTCCGTCTGTCCATGTATTCTGGTGAACAAAATGCAGGTCCATTCATTATCCGATTGAGATGAAATTTTGCAAACAACATTTGTTTGGCCCAAGGACGAACCCTATTGATTGAGATAATCGGTAAAAATTTAGATATAGCTCCCATATATATCTTCTTCCGATTTGCCTTTTATTGTGCACCAAACGTGTAATATCAGCCTGAATAGTATGGAATTTTGCACATACAACCAAATTAAGTCTGAAAATAAGTATGCCAAATTTGATCGAAATCGGTTCAGATATAGCTATAGCTCCCATATATATTGTTCATCCGATTTGTTATTTTTGTCCTCCGCTGCCGTAATATGCACTCTGCAACAACAATATTTGGGGAAATATATCAAATGCAGCTCAGAAATACCTTTGCTAAATTTTATCGAGATCGGTTCAGATTTGGATATAGCTCCCATATATAACTTCGTCCTATTTACCTTTTATTGTGCACCAAACGTCTAATTTTTGCCCAAATGGGATGGAATTTGGCACATACGACCGAATTTAGTCTAGAGGGTAGTATGTCAAAGATCGGTTCAGATATAGCTATAGCTCCCATATATATTGTTCATCCGATTTGTTGTATTTGTTACCTACAGCCGTAATATGCACTCCGTAATAACGATATTCAGGGAAATATATCAAATACACCTCAGAAATTATCTTGCCAAATTTTATCGAGATCGGTTCAGATTTGGATATAGTTCCCATATATATCTTTATCTGATTTCAAATTAATTTTGCACCAAATGGGCAATACAAGTCCGAATTTAAAAGATACAAATGCTTCGGCATATTTAGTCCTTTGAATTTTAAATTATAACTATAATCATAGCGTGTATGATTGAATTCTCCCATAAAAACTTTTAATTATTAAGTGGAGCTCAACTAAATTAGCAAAGTGGTGTAGGGTATCATAAAATCGGCCTCGCCCGACTTTAGGACTTTCTTTACTGGTTCATTTTAAAATTTTAACTTAAAAATTGGTTTGACAGTCCATTGCCACAGCAGCTATGCAATGCGACTACCTGTATTCTTCTACCTTGGTTTTGAAGTTTGGTTTTGTTGCAGCGAATTCAAATTTAATTGACAGATCGTCTGGTAATCAGCTGCGCTGGAAGAGGACCTTATACTTGGATCATGTAATAGTGCAAAAAATACTAAGTTAAGTTGTGATCCAGAACCTACAAATTAATACTAATTCTGATACAACGCGTTCCCGTACTCCAAAAACTAGCAAAACTTGCAGCTCGGAGCAAGTTGAGTTTAGGGGCTATGCTCGGATCATTTTGAAATTTTGACCGCAGGTAGGTATTTGTAACCTGATTACGGCAATGTAATTTTTTTGTGGGGGAAATACCCGGTTACCCGGTTATTCGACCCAAAAGTTCGAATACAACATCCGGTTTGTATCCGGTTCTACGTAGTCATATGACTCTAAAAAACTCGAAAATGGACCCATTATAGGGTCTTAAAATCTATACACTATATTATAGCTGACACTATTGCCTTTCTAAAATGGTGTCATATGTGTTGATATCTTTTGTGGTTCCGTGGATATAAGAGATAGAATTCATTAAATTATATTTTTCTCCAGTCTAGATGCATTTGACTTTGACCTTTATAGCTTTTTTAAGCAACCGGCCTTCGGCCGGGGCTTAAGATTTTCTCCTCTGGGGTATGTCCAACACCGGCTACGCGATCCATAGTTTTTCTAAAAATTGTAATTTTTGTAAGTAGCCGGCCTTCGGCCGGGGCTTAAGATTTTCTCCTCTAGGGTATGTCCAACACCGGCTACGCGATCCATAGTTTTTCTAAAAATTGTAATTTTTGTAAGTAGCCGGCCTTCGGCCGGGGCTTAAGATTTTCTCCTCTAGGGTATGTCCAACACCAGCTACGCGATCCATAGTTTTTCTAAAAATTGTAATTTTTGTAAGTAGCCGGCCTTCGGCCGGGGCTTAAGATTTTCTCCTCTGGGGTATGTCCAACACCGGCTACGCGATCAATAGTTTCCTAAAAACTGTAGTTTTCGAAAGTAGCCGGCCTTCGGCCGGGGCTTAAGATTTTCTCCTCTGGGGTATGTCCAACACCGGCTACGCGATCCATAGTTTTTCTAAAAATTGTAATTTTTGTGAGTAGCCGGCCTTCGGCCGGGGCTTAAGATATGTCCAACACCCACTACGCGATCCATAATATTCTAACAACACCAAATTAAAAACAAAGCAGATTAACAAGAACGTTAAACCCGACACAAAACTTGGGTTCACTCAAACTGCTTTCATAAGTAACGACTTTAAAAGTCAATATCTTCGGAACTACAAAAGATATCAACACATATGACACCATTTTGGAAAGGCAATAGTGTTAGCTATAATATTGTGTATAGATTTTAAGACCCTATAATGGGTCCATTTTCGAGTTTTTATGGGTTTTTCAAAAATTACTCATACATTTTCCTAAATTTCTCCGAAACAGGTTCCAATTACCCCGTTGGATAGATATTTTCATAAGCTTTCAAATGATACCCATATTATTGATATCGGTTACGTAGAACCGGATATAAACCGGATGTTGTATCCGAACTTTTGGGTCGAATAACCGGGTAACCGGGTATTTCCCCCACAAAAAAATTATATTGCCGTAATCAGGTTACAAATACCTACCTGCGGTAAAAATTTCAGGTCAATCCAAGCATAGCCCCTAAACTCAACTTATGACTGCAGCTCTCTCGAGAAAAAAAATGGCGCTTGTCTTCATTGTACCAGGCATAAAACAACATTGTCCCTCTATCTTGAACGTGGAACTATTTTGATAATTCTCTAGGGGGTAAAGTACTCAGAAGGAACCCTTTGTGTGGATTTTAAGACAATTCCATTAAAAAAATTTGCCTGAAATCACCAAATTACCGAATATCGGGAGGTATAAAGTACTCACAAGGAAATCCTTGTGTAGAATTTCAGACAATTCCGTTGAAAATGTGGCTAAAATCGTCAAAATCCGAATATCGGGGTGTACCATTATATGGGGGCTATACGATATCCTGGACCGATACAGATATTTCTCTTCTAGAGGGGGCTATACGTTATGTGGGGGCAATACGATATCCTGGACCGATATAGACAATTCTCCTTCAGGGGGCTATACCATATCCTGGACAGATATAGAGAATTTTCCTTCAGTACTCATAAAGTACCCCTTGTTTAGCATTTCAGACAATTCCATTGAAAATGTGGGTAAAATCATCCTCATAATATAAATTTTTAGGTGATCAAGAATATATACGCTTTGTTGGGTCCAAAATTATTATTTTGATGAGTTACAAACTGAATGACGAACTTAATATACCCTCCATACTATGTATGGTGGAGGGTATAAAAATTTCGACATACCGATGTTCCCAAGCGTCTTTTACCATGCCTTGTCTACCATGGTAGAATAATAACAAAATAATTAATTTTCAATAAATTATTTAAATTTGAAAAATATAAATTTTTGGAATTCGGATTATTAAATCGAAAATGCAGAAGAATACTTCTTAAAATATTTAATGTAAATGATATATATATATATATATATATATATATATATATATATATATATATATATATATATATATATATATATATATATATATCGAATTTGACTCTAGTATTACTATAGATTCAAATCAGTTGGGACTTGCTGTTACCTGTAATAATTATACCATGGTTGTCTACCATGCTTGTAGCCATGGTCCAATAAGAAAGGTTGCTCAAACTCAGAGAAACTAGAAAAAAATGCAACTTTTTACCAGGGCTTTATTTTAAATTCATAAAAATTGTTGAAAAACATGAATTATAATAACCTCCGAATGACGTCGTATAAGAAAACATATACAAATCTACTTATATTTAAAAAAATATTTAAATTTTTTTGACATATCAATGCTCCCATGCTTTGATGCATCTACCTGTATTCCGTAACTTTTATACCCAACATTTTTATATAAAAAAGAAACAAAAGTTGACAACATTGGTATCTATCGGTTGGCCTTAGCGACTACTTCAAATTCGTCGTTAACTGTCTGCGTATGGGGCTTGTTATAAGACCAGATGGTTCTTTTAGAAGACGTTTATGTAGAACAATTTACGGCGCGGCCGAACTAGAGAGAATTGACCTCTTCCTCATGAAAGGAGCATTAAGATTTTTTGGGACAGCACAGATTGTTGAAAATGAACTTTTAAGAGAATCCCTGGATTTTCATATTGATGCAGATACTCTAGCGATTCGCAAACTCTTCCCGCCAGTAGCTCTCTTAAAACTTAATGCGCAGAACCTCCTTTATAATAATTACAACAATTTAATGTTTTATCATCGACGGTTTAATACATTAAACGTAACTGACACCGTATACATTACGACGCAGTCAATATTTGTACATGCACATGTAAATAGCAGCTTTAAGTTTCCCTTCCCTTAGTATATGTTTTATGTTTTAGATTTAAGATTAGATTCTAAGTGAATACCTTTTTATACCCTCCTCCAAAAAAAGTATGGAGGGTATATTAAGTTCGTCATTCCGTTTGTAACTCATCGAAATAATCATTTTTGACCCAACAAAGTATATATATTCATGATCAGCGTAACATTCTAAGACGATTTAGCCCTGTCCGTCCGTCTGTTGTAATCACGCTACAGTCTAAACGAATTAAGATAGGAAGCTAAATTTTGCACAGATCTCTCTTTTGTCTGCAGGCAGGTCAAGTTCGAAGATGGGCTATATCGGTCCACGATATCGTATAGTCCACATATAACGGTACCCCCGATATTCGGTATTTTGATGATGTTAGCCACATTTTTCAATGGAATTGTCTGAAAATCCACACAAGTAGTTCCTTGTGGGTACGTTATACCTCGGCAGAGAATAATCTATATAGGTCCACAATATCGTATAGCCTCCATATAACGGTACGACGTAACGCCACCTTCTTTAATCTAATAGTTACAACTACAAACTTATTAATAGTTATCTACATCAAAATTTTGTTTTTATACAGTTCAATCAATCACAGCCAAAAAAATCAATATAAACAAGTAAAAAAGCAGTAAGTTCGGCCGGGCCGAACGTTGATCACCCTCCACCATTTGGAACGAATTAGAAAATTTTCAAAAAAATAAAATCCATTAAAAATTCTTTTAAAATCTTTAAAATATCTAATATAGGAAGGTGGCGATATGGGGGGATTTACGATATTGTGGACCTATAAAGACAAATCTATGTCTGGGTGTAAAGTACTCACAAGGAACTCCTTGTGTGGATTTTCAGATAATTCCATTGGAAAAAGTGGCTAAAATCATCAAAATACCGAATATAGGGAAGTACCGTTATATGGGGGATATACGATATTGTGGACCTATATAGACAATTCCGTTTCAGGGGTAAAGTGCTCACAAAGAACTCCGTGTTTGGATTATAAGACTAATTAGCACTAAGCCATGCTGTCTAGTTATTAAGATTTTCATCAATAAACAAGTAAAAAAGATGTATGTTCGGCCGGGCCGAACTTTTAATACCCTTCACCATTTGGTACAAATTTGGCAACGACCTGCATAGACAATTTTTGTCATAAGTTATTACAATATTTAAATGCAAAACTTGAGGAAAAATCCGTTTATAATGTAGCTAAAATCATCAAAATACCGAATGTAGGGGGTACCGTTATATGGGGGCTATACGAAGACGTGGACCTGCACAGAAAATTTTCTGGCATGGGATGGGGATCCATTACGAACTTCACATGCGAAATTTGAAACAATTCCTGTAAAAAATGTCGCTAAAATCATCAAAATACCGAATATCGGGGGGTACGGTATATGCGGGCTATACGAAGACTTGGACCTGCACAGATAATATTCTGTCTTAGGAACTTCAAATGCCAAATTCGAAGCAATTCCGGTGAATAATGTCGCCAAAATCATCAAAATACCGAATATCGGGGCTTACGGTTATATGGGGGCTATATGATAACTTGGACCTACATGGCCTATTTACGAACTTAACCTGCCTACTGGCAAAATATACATGTGTGCAAAATGTTAGCCCTCTATCTCAATTTGTTCGATAGATAGCGTGATTACAATAGACAGACAGACAGACGAACATGGCTAAATCGTCTTAGAATTTTACGCTGATCAAGAATATATATACGTTGTTGGGTCTAACATGAGTATTTCGAGGAGTTACAAACGGAAGGACAAAATTAATATACCCTCAATAGTATGGTGGAGAGTATAAAAATGGCTATAGCCAAAAAAAAACTCTACAGTCAACACAACGGCAGTATCATGAGGCAACAAGTCCTTAAGTTGTGGCTCGCTGCGTCAATGCGTACAAAAAGCCTTTGGCCGATATTAATTTAGAAACTTTTACCGCCACAAAACAGGTTTATGCACAAACGAAAGAAGTTTAAAACCATATTATTGTCAATTACACCTTTTTAAATACAACTTGCTTTACATATTATTTAAAAGAACAGCCAATAAACTGATTGACAAAGGAGGTAGAACCCATTGCGAAATCTAAGGGTCGAATTTTAAATATTTCCAATGTGACTTTGTCAAACTACCGAATATTTAAAAGTAACTTTATATGGACGCCTACGATAGGTATGCCAAATGTTACCCTTCTATCTAAATTCGTTCGAAATACAGTGTGATTACAGACAGACACACAAACAGACGGGCATCACAAAATCGATTTAGAGTTTTACGCAAAAGAATATACTTTATAGATTTCTTGGTTTCAATCCACTTACATTTGAGTTACTAAAAAAAATAAAATCTTTAATCAAATCAAATCTGCAAACCTTAATTAAATCTGCAAGAACTTACGAGTTTTATTTTGATTTTGAAGGTCCAAATACACAAAATGTGTAAATCCGTAATTTTCGGAATTTTCCCGACCCTAAAGACCTTGTTTACGTATACCAACTATACCAAAGTAAAGTTCTTAAGACGATTAAAACTTATTTCATGCAATAATTTTTTGTAACGCTAAATATTCCTATATTGCTTCTTAAACTTTATATCGCTGCCCGTACATTGCCAATTGAAAACAGAAGTTGGGTTTTGTCAAATAATTTTAATCGCAAATAAATACATCTAATTTAAACATTTAACATCTAATATTGAACCAATTGTTTCATTATGTTTATTGTTTTCATTATGTACTTTGTATTTTTAAATAAAATGTTCGGGTTTTTCCGAAATATCAATAAATTGCATTAATGGGTTTTTTAAATATTTTATTAACAAATTTTCCCTTACTTGTTTCAGTTTTTAAAGAAACCACTGTCAACCATTTTTAGACTTATGAAATAATTATATTTTTGTTGCTTTTGCTTTCTATACACTTTTTGACCAGAAGTAAGTTGTTCTAAAAAATATGTCATCTTTGGTGTTAAAAAGAATGAGAGGGGATGAAAAAGCGATTCCTTCGTCGTTGCTTGATTTAAAAAAACAAATCAATATAAAATAAATGCCGGATTGCCTGCATGTATAGGCAGCTATTGTTTTCATTTGGAATAGTAAATATCGTGCAATATCGTTATCTGAAGACATTTGTGTTGTGTTCTTTGTATGTTTACGAATGTTGGCCACATATTTCATCCGCTTTTTCATTGTCACCAGCAATTTTGCAAATTTCCGCCAAAAGATTTTTTAGTATTAAAGCTTGCTTTCCCTGATATCCGTCCAATGTAATGGTGGGTATAAATGTAATTGAAGGCCGTAACGCATGGGTTAGGTCGCCATTTAGTTTTAACAATTCACTTCCATGAGAACTGTCAAAACACTTTTGTATGAGATCAACATTATCAATGTTGTGCTGCTTGGCACACTGAAAATATAAAGACATGCCGATTATTGTTTTAAAATGTTAACTTAATTTGTATGTTTGGAAAAAAGCTTTTCCGAGCAGTAAGACTAATTAATTATTCGGGAGCATTTCGATAGGTAAGCCCTCACAGTATGACATGGCAGACCAGTGATCGCCAAAATACTGGCCGCTTATATCCACTTTCACTCATACTAGGAACCTTTATTCCAATTATCTCTATTTAAAATTATTTTTGTGTCAATATAAACTAAAGCGATAGTTTCTTCGTGCTTTCTCTATTCTTTATCTATATCCATTAAAAATCATATCTTATTTATTCTACTTCAATTATTGCCTCAAATATTATTACTCATTTCCAAAGTTGCTCTTCGTCCACATATCCTTCTACACGTCCAATAAGATCCGCCGAATAAATTTTTATAATCGATTGTAGTTTGGGTTTTGTGGCCCGTTGCGCCATCGTGTTCAAACGAAATGTTGGCAATATCCTCCGCTATATGCCTCTAAACCAAAATCCTCGTTTTGAGTGCGTCGGTTTTTAAATACTTGTTTAAATATGAAGGTGGCTGTGCTTCTCCTCTCCAAGACGAACTTTTTGTAACTCTTTCGTTCACAAATATACCATTGTTTGGAACCCTATCTTTATTCTAATTACACTGAATGTACTAGCAATTCTTTGCCGATTACCTTTATTCACATGCCTAACATACCGGCCTTACCAACGATATTAACTACCTGTGGTGTTAAACAGAAGCGTTATGGGAACCAAGAGGCCGTAATGAAAAATTAAAATATAAAAAGAAACCTCGGAATGTTACAATTAGTTTGACCTACTTTATGCAACGCATCCTTCGGCAAACGATTATCTCGAATCATACAGGCGATCATGTCAAGACGCGCCTGCGGTTCCTGTACTGCTTCTATTGTACATGCATGATATGTATTTGCCTCACATTCCACTTGGCCATGTTGACAGTCGAAACGAAATGTGCCATCGGGATTCGTCATAGTAGAGGCCTTTCCATATGGCACTAGTCGCGTATCCATTAAAATGGACGCTTCTTTAAAGGCCGGTATCAATTGTTTCGTTATAAAATGTTTGCTGTCTGGACACAATGCTTCATAGAACACTGTTACTATTACTGGAGCACCAGGAGCACGACGATATGTTTGGGAATCCTAAAGATGAAAATGGTCAAAATTAGGTGATTAATGGCATGTATTTTCCATAAATAACCTACGTGGCTTTCGTGCTGTTGTTGTGGTATCACAAGTTGAGGTGCAGAAGAAATACTTGCCTCTAAAGATCCATTGAAGAAAACATAACGTACCAGGAGGAAAAGTATTACCACAACGCTCAGTAATATTAATATACGCTTTCGTGTTTGTGAAACCATTTCATGTGTTTAATTACTTTATTACTCTTTAAAACTGAAAGCTAGGTCGTAATGTTTTGGTTTGCAGTTAATTGGATGCTCATGTTTATGTTTTTTTTTTCATTAGTACCACAACCAGGGATACTTAAGCCGATACTTGACAAAACGTTTAATCTGCTGGAATAATCGATTATTGTTCAAGTCATCAGACGCTCTGTTCCAGACATCGCAGAAGAATACCATGGTTCCAGAACCTGCACGTATCGACTATTATTATATTATATTATTATTATTGTTATTATTTTCGTTGATATCGTAAAGGATGTTCCGGAACCTGCAAGAATCTACTTGCAATTTTTTGATATCACAAAGCGAAATTCGGTTATCGTATTAAAGATTTTACATCCTTGCAGTTCTGGGACAGACCAATTTTTACAGTTCTGGAACAGAACAATTTTTGTGTAACAATTTTTGTTCAATGAGGGTAGCGTGGACCTAGGTTTATTAATAGGTTCGATTTCATTCCCTCATGTCTGAGAAAGAAGCTTATTTGCTGCCTTCTCACTTTTTTATCTACTTAACTATACCATTTGACTGACAACTTTGATTAAATATCTGCTCTGTCGGAATCTACAAGTTTAGCAATGGTTTCCATATCATAAAGGAAAAATCGAATATCGTAGAAACACATTTTTTACATTCTCGCAGATTCTAAATAAAACGCTTTTTTGACTGGCTTAAGTCATCGGCTTCTTCGGAGAGGAGCAAAGGAGTTGAAGGTTACTCACTTAGTTTGCGTTTGTCCTTATGCTCCACTATGGGGCCCATGGCATGGTTTTGAGACAAAAAATCATTTTTTGAAGTTAGTAATTTTCTCTTGGGTGAATGTGTAGTGTCTTTTAATATAGCTTTTGTTCTCGTCCGTGTGTCATTTGGAGTAGAACTTTCGGTATTGGGGCGTATTTGGCAAACAATATAGATGTGGTGAAAGGTAATAAAGCGTTCTATCATATTTTAAATAAAAAGTTTGCACCAATTTGCATCTTTTAAAAAAATTATTTTCAAATATCTTAACTTTTAAAATTCATATATTTTTTAACATTTGGCTGGAAAATAAGCGATAGCCAACAAATGTAATAAAATAGATTTCAGCAATATGTGAATTAAATATTATCGAAAAATATTTTATGACCATGAAAATGCTTATTAATAACATTTATGCACAAACCGTGGTAGAAGAATATAGGTAGACGCATCGACACAGCTGCTGGAACAATGAACACACGCACAGATTTTCCTGAAAATTTTCAAATATACTACAACATCGCCTGAAAGTAACATAGGCTATATAAGTTTTTTAAATTCCACTTGGAACTGGAGATATAGCATCAGAATCGGAGGTACCTTCCAAAAATTTAGATTTTATATGCACATATCTATTTATCAATTATAGATACAGTCTCGAAATTTGGAACGTGTAACGGAATTTTGAAAAAAAAAATAAATTTGCCAAATTATATTGAAATCGGTTCAGATTTGGATATAGCTCCCATATATATTTTCGGCCGATTTCAAGTATTTTGTGCACCAAACACGATATGCATCTCTAATTTCAATGAAATTTGAAATGTGTAACGGAATTTTAAACGAACATTTGCCAAATTATATTGAAATCGGTTCAGATTTGGATATAGCTCCCACATAAATTTTCGACCGATTTCGTTTATTTGAACTTTGGAATGTGTGACGGGAATTGATCAGAAAACAAATTTGCAAAGTTATATTGAAATCGGTACAGATGTGGATATATACGTATGTCCGATTCCAATGAAATTCGGCATGAGTGACTAAATTTGGTACAAAAAAATTGCCATATTATATTGAAATCGGTTCCGATTTGGATATAGCACCCATATATATTTTCGACCGATTTCGTTTATTTGATACACCAAACACGATATGTATGTTCAATTCCAATGAAATTTGGATTGTGGTTCGGGTTTTGATCAGTAAATATATTTGTCAAATTATATTGAAATCGGTTCAGATTTGGATATAGCTCCCATATACATTTTTGACCGGTTTTAGATATTTGATGCACCCAACGCGATATGTATATTCTATTTTAATGAAATTTGGAGTGAGGGACGGGATTTGTTCAGGAAAAAAATTTGTCAAATTATATTAAGATAGGTTCAGATTTGGATATAGCTCCCATATATATTTTCGGCCGAGTTTACATATTTGACGCACCAAACAAGGTATATACCTCCGATTTCAATGAAATATTTTAGGTTGACGGAATTTGGTGTAAAAGTAAATTTTGTCAAATTATATTGAAATCGGTTGAGGTTTTGATATACTTCCCATATATATTTTCGGGAAGTATGTTGCTACCTTGAATTCTATAACAGCAACAGAAATGCCACTCAACTTCAAAAGATTGCCGTTTCGTGCTCGCTTGGCATTTGCTATGAAAGTAATAAATCCGAAGGACAAACCCTTCGACTAAATTTGACATGTTCCTGATTTTCTCATGCTATGAAAGTAATAAATCCGAAGGACAAACCCTTCGACTAAATTTGACATGTTCCTGATTTTCTCATGGTCAGCTGTCCCTGGCATGTTCACGCGTAGGTAGACCGAGCTATTTGTTTATTTAAGCATTAAAGTTTTGCAATAATTACGTTTTTATATTTTTGAATTTGTTTTATATTATTTTTAAACCAAAATTCGTAAAATTTTGAATGTATATAAAATCCAAAGGGGTAGCAAAGCACACCGTGTTCAGCTAGTACAGGGTGAGATAAAAAAACTGCATCAAAGTCAAACGCCAACATTTATACATTTTTTTTTTTAAATTTTATTGAATGATCGCCTTTGGCACGAATTATGGCCTTTAATCGGCCAATGAAACCGTCACACGCTGCCCAAATATTGCTCTGCGGTATTTTGGCCCATTCCCGACGAAACGCTTGGTTGAGGTGATCAACACTTTGGTATTTTTTCGTGCAAACCTTGCTTTTCAAAATACTCCAGACACAATAGTCCAACGGATTGGTATCCGGAAATTTTGGTGGCCATTATGCGCTGGAAATGAAGCGAGGAACCTCATTTCGTAACAATTCTTGGGTGGCGCGTGCTGAGTGCGATGGTATTGAGTCTTGTTGGAATGTCCAAGGTCTGTGGCCAAAATGTCTGCATGCCCAAGGCTTTAATACACCCTCCAGAATATTTTCGCGATAATATTCGGCATTTATTCTGATGTCACGGTCGATTAATGCAAGCGGAGAGCGACCACCGGCTGCTATGGCGGCCCACACCATCACCATGGCACATATTCAGCTGACCCCTTTGGCAAGTAAACAAGATCATTTTGTTTGTTTACAAACTACTGGACAACGGAGAGAAAACCAAAATCGGCAGTTCACCACTTTCGACCAAGCAACTCTTAAGCTCTTTTGAGTCAAGACACAAAAGATTTATTTACATTTAAATGCTGGAGTGCTCTAACGATAGCCGCTTGTGGTTTTCCAGCCAAATAGAAAAAAAAATCACACTATCACGCTTGAACTCCATCACGAATAACTTTTTTTCTGGAAAATTATCACCAAAATGCTTTTGTGGCCACATTTAAAATAGTATTGCAGCTAAAAAAGATGATAATATTGATTTTGTGATACTTTCATTTTTCCATTTTGTCATATTTTTGTCGCATGAGGTATTTTTATTTTGACTTACAATATTGAATCTTACATTTTGTAATATTTTTCCTCCTTACAACACTATATAGTTAGGATATTATATACGGGGCATATTTGTTGAAATATTAGTATCTCCACAATACGATCGTACAACACACGTACAGAGTAATTGCGGTGTGTTCGCAATGTGTGACACCTACAGCCTTGTAAATAGATTAGTTCTAAGTGTTAAGGTTTCATACAAGGTAGATCTACAAGGTAGTCGCATCAGCCCAGCTGACGGTACCTTTAAATGTCAAAACAAGTTGTTGTAATGCTGAATTCGCCCTAAATGAATGCAACACAAAAACAAAGTTTGTTTATGTCTTCTTCACTAAAAGTATTTTTTTCTGAACTGATTGCCAGTAAAAAATGAAAAAGGTTTTGTTGTTGGGTATTATGTTGTTGGCTATTGGTCAAATTATTAAGATTTTGATTACTGATATTCATATTCTGAATATGTGGTGTATGCATTGGAGTGTTGGTGCCCTGATTTTGCATGGAACGTTTCGAATTGTTGTTACTGCTGCTGCATATGTACACTGTTAACATCCGATACATTTTGGGCAATGTTGCTGGAGATGCTAGCGGGTGAATCCATGCCATGTGGTGCAATGTCATTCAAATCCTTGGTGTTGAGATTATGTCCAGCACTGGCCTTAATATGTAATTTATCGTGGACATTTCCAGGCGGTCCAGACGTAGAAGATATTAGCTAGCTAGTTAGGGCTAGCTATCAACTTGGGGCTTTTGCAATGGTCCCCACACACAACATAAATGTAAACAATCATCTCGTTTCCGATTGGTTGAAACAAATTTGCCGCAAACTTTAAATGTCATGGCGAATATATATTTTTCGCCTTAGATGCCAATTTTGACATTTGAGGGTACCACAAAAGTTGCTTTGTTGTAGCAATTCGCCGATGCGGTTACCTGTTAGATCTACCTTGGTTTCATATGTAGTGTGTAAGTAGAATAAATTTTACTCGTAATAAAGCACTCAACAGCAACAGTCGTCTTTAATTTGAACAAACATCTGCAGACAGTACGCTAATAATATTCAACAGGTTATGGGCCCAGAATCACTCTAAGGACAACGCATTGGAACAAAGTATTGGAAAAATAAAAATTGATAATTTGGTGACCAGGATAATTTAAAGGACAACGCATTGGAAAACGGAAAGACAATAGAGAGTGAATAACAATCTGCGTGATTGATTGATAAGTTGAAGTGCATAGAAAACAAAAGAGCAAGACATTTTGTGCGCCAGTGACTGTGTGTCAATTTATTTCAATCGTGTGTCGATAATAAACCCGAACAAAATAGGTGTGTCTGGTTACTTTTCCTGCAGGAATTGTCCAGCAACATCTTTCCGAGAGAGAAAGATAGTTTTATTCTCTTT